TATTTGTTATCAAAGAGTTATTGCCTATAGGATCTTTCTTTTTCGATACAGAACTTGCAAGATAGGCTAGACTACCTGGGAGTGGTCCAATACAATGTTTTTTGTTTTTTTTTAATTTTGTATTAAGACTTTGATTTAATAAACTTCTTAAATAAACAAACATACCTAATCGAAGAAACAGATTGTTCTAGAATATCATACAATGTTTAGATTTAGGAAAGTTAGGTGAGTTCCTAAAAACTAATTGTATTTATTTCTCTTAGCTACTCCATTTAAATTTTCTTCACAAGGCCACACAACGGACTTACAACGCTAGAAACCGGGTTTTGATACTCTTGGTGGGCAGAGCACAGATAGCCCATTGTGTAGCTTTGTACATAATTACAAACAATTCTTCACAAGTTGGTGGTATTCTATTAAATATATATATTGGGTGTGTTATAGGCGTTAGTGGCAGAATTGTGATTTCGATGGTCCTTGGTTCAAGCTTCATTGATGACAACTCGCTCTCCGCATTTTTGGCTCGAAGGTGCGTTATAAGAGTGATGGTCAAATCTCAATATTCGATTACAGTAGCCCAAGAGATGGCAGTGGATGCCATTAAAAAAGACGTATTTCCTACAATATTTTTATTCAAAAAACGGCTAACGAAAATATCCGAAACAAACAAACGACTAAATACATCATTACAGTTTGTTTTTTGAAACGGCGGGATGGTTATAGTTATATTTGCCATAAATTCTAAATAAATTGTCTCCTGATGGCTTAACGGTAAGCTCTAGAATTTACTAGATTACTAGATTACTAGATTTAATTTAGATTACTCTTTGGCGGCTGCCATAGCCCAAATATCCCATAGTGTAGCTTTGAAACAAATAAATTAACAAAGCATGTTGAACCAGCAGTTGATGAGTAGTTAACGTTTCGGGCTGTGTATAGCAGGCCCAATGTTCGAGACATAATGCCACAGACATACTTCGCATTTTCAGCTGTGGGTGGGTTGTACGTGTAACAGCCGGTTCCTACTTGATTCAAAGAGCTTTTGTGGTAGCGGGTGCTGAAGACTGGTCAGTAGTTCAAAGTTAGGGACAGCTATACCTGAACATTAGTCGCCTATGACCTGTCAGTATAGTGTGCTGTAAATTCCATTACTTCGAATTTTTAAAGTTTCGGTTCTGGTTGGCCTGCCCCCAGTGGCACAGCGGTATGTCTGCGGACATACAACGCTAGAAACCGGTTTTCGATACCCGTGGTGGGATGAGCACAGATAGCCCATTGTGTCGCTTTATGCTTAATTAGAAACAAACAAACTGGTTGGCCTTGTGGTAAATCTCTTTATTTCGAACCTGCAGAGTCCGATTCGAACCCATGTTATATAACAAAATATTTCCCATACTTTGAATCAATTCCTTAACATGGTTGGGAGGGTAGAGTGTTTTGATTGTGATTGGCTGCTTTCTCAATGGTCAGTGTCTCACAAGAAATAATTTTGCTAACATAACCAAATTACCATGTCGTCCATATCTTATTTTCCTATATCGTGGTTCATAGTTTGTTTGTAACTTTTTATTAGTCTTTTCAGTAGCATGAGTTTTAATACATTAAAATGTTTCTGAAACAAGTAGTCGCTCCAGGAACACAGTGACGCAAAAATAATAAGATCGGTAATCATGGTTACAGTGATACTTGCGCCATCTAGGGTAATATTAAGTAGACTGTCGATCTTTATGAGTTCCGAGTGTATATTCCATCTGACAGAACTGCCTCTACAAAGTGAACTTTTACTCTGATATATATATTCGGGTTGGAATCTTTGTTTTAAAAGTGTTGCAAACAGAAGAATCAATCGATGTTATGCATACATAGATATATATTCTTGAAAACTATATTTTTTTATTATTTATCTGTTCACGAATTCCATTAGCTTTTTTAAACACATCTTTCCAAACTATTTGCCTCACGTGGCTTAGCGATAGTCTGAGTAAGTACTTACAACACTAAAAATCGGGTTTTCGATATCCATGGTGGGCAGTGCACAGATAGCCCATTGTATAGCATTCTTCTTAACAACTAATCAACCAACCAAACTATTTATACACAGAAATATTTGTTTTTCATGACTTTGTTGACTATAGGACTTCTAATAACGAGTCACGCAGAAATTGTAAATAAAAATACCATAAATATTACAGTTAGTCCCACTAATTACTTCTGGGTTCCTTTTTGTCTTTTTCAAAAAGAAAACGACCGAGTTCATCTAACTTTTTCGTTCTATATTTTACATTGATTGTTGAAATGAGCAAAAATACATTATTGGATATGGTCCAATATACATGGACCTCAACAGAAGCGAACGGTATAAAAAAAATCGGTAATTTAAGAGTTTGATAGTTTTAAACCAAAGCCACGGAACATCGAACCCCGGATTCTAGCATTGTAATTCCGTAAACTTACCGCTGTCTCATCGTGGGACAATTATAGCTTAGACTTAAGCAGACGTAATTATTTATAAGCAAAAATAATGCTTTTTATGTCCGTAAATACCTTAGATATTTCACGTCTAACTGAAAACATACCTAACAATACATCACTGATTAATT